ACCCTAAACCCTAAACCGTAGTTTGGGGTCTTTCTGGTTCACAGGTTTGGGGCTTCAGGAGTTTAGGGAGCAACCTCAAGGAGCAGATGGAGTGCTTAATATGGGGGCTTTAATCATTCGAACAGGGTTTTGACGTCCTTTAAAGCATAATTATAATAACCCCACCCCCCCAAAAAAAAACAAAAATAATAATATAGGTAATGATTTAGGCCCCGATGTTAATCGCCCTGTCGTGGGCTGTTCAAGAAGCCCGAAACTCGAAACCCGAAGCGCTGACAGCGACGGGAGGCTAAAACTCCGACAACCTGCAACCTACAGAGCTTCAAGAGCAAGGCTGGCGATGTGGTGATTTTTGAGCTTTGGGCTTAGCGATTCGGAGTTAGGATCAAGATTTGCAGGCTGGCTTTGGGGGTGTTCTGCGGTTTTCGGCCCTGGGCTTCATTCAAAGCGCGTGTGAAGAAGCGATTTGACAGAAGATGACCATCTTCATGTGATGACCATCCCCTACACAATAGACTTTAGATTTTCAACGGAAACCCGACTCAACCATCGACATCGATTGTCTTGCTACATCTATCGGGCCGCTAGGACTCTGCGGCAGAGTTGCCGATGAGCCTTTGGTAGAGACGCCGTAATTAGAAGTGGGATTTGGAGTGTCTATTATTATACAACTACTACAAGGTGAGAGAGAGAGAGAGAGAGAGATATATATATATATATAGGGGGACTAGAAAGGGATGTTGTTTCAAGTCGTATATACTTAGAGTCCCTTTTGGAGCAAGCGGAGCAACGGCCGGATGCCGCTTGAAGCTTAGTCGCCTTAAGCTCCCGTGGTTCATGAGAATGCTCGAACTGGCGTGTAGAACGAAGCCCGAAACCCTGAAACTAGTAACGCATCACTGTACTGATCAACCACAGACTGTCCTTCAGGACGTCGTCATGCTGCGCAATGCACAGCTTGTCCACGAAAACCTCATTTGTGTGTTCGGTGACTTCTCTGGAAGGATTCGGGCCGCTGCCGCACAAAAGGTCTAGATCTATTGATATCCCACGGCTGGTTCAGGGTTCACCAACAATGGTAAAAGCACCTTTCAGGAATCTCTTGCATGGCTTCTTTTCTCCTGGTCTAAGCCAGCCGCAGCTTACGCAGCCAAGGACTATATGGTCGGCTAAAATCGAAAGCATCTACATCCCACCCCTTAAACTGCTAAACACCTACCGTGAACACTGACCCTCTAAACTCTATCCCCGTCCGTCAAGTCGGCCACACCGCCGACCTCTCATGCCCAGCCTCCCAAAATTCCCCAGGCAACCACCTCCCGCCCTCTTCCCGGACTACTGCCTCAAGGGGCTACTAGGGGCTTGAAGATGACCAGGCGGATACGCTGCCAGAAGCAAAGAAACAGCAGAAATGCTGCATATCCGAAAATGACCTCAATGTGTCGGAGATGATATCTGGTAGGGGCGGTAGGGACGTTCTCCAAGTTTTTGGCCATCGGGTGCTTCTGGGTGCTTCTCCCGCTATTCCTACTACTTACTACTACTACTACTACTACTACTACTACTACTACTACTACTAGTATTACTACTACTACTACTACTCCTACTACTCCTACTACTCCTACTACTCCTACTACTACTACTAATACTACTA